CCCCCCAAACCGAAACCCAACCCCCCAACCCACCCAGCCACAACACCGTGAATTCCTCAGGGAGGTGCCAGCCTCATCCTCTTGAACTTCCCACGCTCCTCCAGCGAATTAAGAACACGCTTATCTCCCTGAGCCTGGCCTTCATAATTCCATTCCATCACAAATGTATTGTAATTTATGCTGTTTTTATTGTATCCTGAACTGGATGTGATGACTTCATGGGAAGGTCCATATAATTTTCTTGGCAGATTTATTTATTTATTTATTTACGAGATTCATATTCCACTTTTCATTTAGGAGCTCAAAACAGTGTACATAATGTTCTCTCCTATTTTCCTGCAGAGCAACAACTCTGTGAAATACATTGGGCTGAGATGATAAGATGACTGGCTCAAGTCACTCAGGCAGCTTTTGGGGCTGAGGGTGGTCTCATTTAGGTCTCCCCTAGGAGCTAGGTCTCCTAATCCAACCCTGTGACCATCTCACCACATTGACTCAGTGTGGAAATGGTTTGCCATTACTTTTTTCTGGGATGTCTTTTCAACTTCCCAATCTAGCCTACACCCTTGATATTTTCTGGAGGTCTCCCACTCAGATACTTCTGAGCCCAGATAAGGTCAGCCAGGAGATACTATAGAACTTTTGTGCTGTCATCATTACAGTTCTTTGACCACTTGATGTGGGTTCTGTATGAAGAAATAAATAGCATTCTCCTTCCAGAAGAAAGGTTTTCCTATTTGAGGAGATGGGGTGATTTTTGTACTCTGGATTAGTGGAGCATCACCTATCCTCTAGTAAGTTATCCTATAGTTGCAAGAGGTTTTTGTGCTAGATAGATGTTATACCAATATCATGCCTCTTTTTCTGCAGAGGAATAACTCTTTGCCTGATGAGAATAATATTGCTAGGCTTCAAGAGGAATTGATTGCAGTTAAACTAAGAGAAGCAGAAGCTCTAATGGGTCTAAAAGAACTTCGGCAACAAGTTAAAGATTTGGAGGAACACTGGCAGGTAATTCTCTAACACTAAGTCAAATAAGCCTAAATTGATTTGGCAATAAATTGGGCAGATTGGTGGGGTCCATGCAAAGGAGTAAATTAGTGAGTAAGTGAACCCTTATATCAGGGTTGAGAGAGCCCAAGCATTCATTTTGAACTCTGGCTTTTAGCAGACAAGAATTTATGGTTTTTTTCTTGAAGCTGATATGGTTTGAAACCTTCAGTGTGAAAGGCAGAGTATCTTGCAACCTACTAAGAAACATGTTTTGTCAGAAGGAACTGCTATTGAATATAGTTCGGTGGGAGCAACTGTGAATGAGATTGAAACTTTATATTAGCTTATATTATTCTATCACTGAAAAGTAAAATTTGAAAAATAACTTCTGAGCCAAACAGCAGATATGGGGAAACTAGATACACTGTGGGATAAATTCTTAAATGATAAAAAAATCAGTGAAAGTATATTAAGACATAGCAATGTTTTTAGCGTCATCTAATTCGCACCTCTGGAAGATGGAAAGACCCACCTAAAAAAAATACTGTAAATGAACTGCAAGATGAGCTAATGTCAGTCAGACTCCGAGAAGCAGAAACTCAAGCAGAGCTAAAAGAAATAAAACAAAGGATGATGGAAATGGAAACTCAGGTAAGAAACATAGTAACTCAAAAAATATTGAATATCAGGACTTGCATAGTATATCCATGAGAACACAAAATTTGAAAAGCAACATGAAATTAGTAGTGTGTTTGGGGCAGGAAATATCATAATCATATAAAGTATCATCCACTTGTGAAGCTGGTTGGGTGATTCTGGGCTATCTGCCTTTTCCAGCCCAATTTTTTCTCCCCCAAATAGAATTTTTCTAAGGTTGGATGGGAGGACGAAAACAAATAATTGTTGGTCCTCCGTTTTTGAACATATCAAATCTGATAGGTGTCAGCCATTCTTTGCTTCTTTTTTCTTTTGAAGAGTTCTTGGTGCAGTCTAATACCTCAATAGAACCCATTTTTCTTTTCTGTAATCTACTCCACATTCTATCTAAGAATTCAGAGTGCAGATACGGCTTGAACTCAGGCTATATGTATTCTGCTGTCTTGCTTAATGAAGAGTTTTTTGAAAACTCAACAGCTTAAACACCCCTTTTAAAACCTGAGTTGGGATAATACTGCGACTTCCTTAGAGGATTCTGTTTCCCTCACAACCAATATGTTGATGCTGTTTTTTATTTTCAAAGGTTTACTGTTATATCATTTAAAGGTCTACTTGTAAATAACTCTGTTATCTATATGAATACTTAGATCCAGAAAACACACATTAGCAATATATTTTCTGGCCAAAAATGTTCTAAATTAAAACATTTAGCTTTTTGTTAGATTGTTAGATTGTTTAGTTTTTTGTCTAATAGGTTCTAGTATGTTATAACAATAAAATCAATTATTGAAGATGCAGAATCTAAAAAAGAACAACAGTGAACAACTTTATGAAGCAATTGGGATTCTTTCCAACAATGAAAAAAATAATGTAGCATGTTAAAACCAGTTCAGTATGAGTTTAAATCCATTCATGATTTTCATCATGCTTCCTAATTGCACTAAACAGCAATTCGTTTTTCTCATCTTTTCAGCCAGTAGGGGGTATATTTGTTCTATTTGATCATATATGAGCAATACACACACACACACACACACACACACACACGCATGCTCAAATGTATGTAAACTGGGTAGGCAAGTTGTGGAGATTTTGTAGTTCTTCAGAAATTCATGAACTACAGTTCCTGGGGTCATTCACCACTGGTTATGCTGGCTGAGGCTATTAGGAGTTGTCATGTATAGACATAACCCAAAACAGCAGAACCTAACAAATATAACATATCCTGAGTTCAATTAAACCTGAGTTCAATTAGTTTACTCTTGCATTTTGTTTTGTTTCTTGTTCATGAGAATTATTCTATAAGAAATACTTTATTGAGACAGGTATACCTTCAGTCAGCAGCAGCCAACCTTATGGCCAGTGGGTAAGGTCATAATGATCAGGCCAGTTATACAGTTTAGGTGTGGCCATATCATATGTGGATGGGGTTGGGCTTTTCCGTTTTCCCAGGATTTGGGGGGGAGTGTTTTCTTTTTCAATTATGTAAAGCCTATTCTACAATCATATTCTACAATTTTGGAAAGTAGTTCAAAATAACTGACATATTTTACTATATTTTGAAAACCTTTACCCATACTTCTACTTATGTGTTAAAATATTCTTCCAAAAAGAAACCAAAACTGGACATGAACAAATCATATGAGTTAGTGTATCCTCAAATTCCTTACATTGCCAAGAGAGAAAATCCTACCTGTAGTTGTTGAGCATCCTTAAAATAGCCATTACAAGGTAATTAATTTAAAATAATTATTCCAGATTCTGCCCATATTTTCCAATAAACATTTTACCACTGATTTTAAAAGTAGTTTTTCTGCGAAGTTAAATATTCATAAGACTTAACATTACAACCCAGTATACATCCTAATAGGACTCAAATTTGTCTAGATGTGGTGGATGGCAACAGAGGTCAAGACTATCTGGAAGGAGGGGGTGCATTCCAGGAGGAGAAAGGAGACAAAAGATAATACAGTCTGCAGGGGGAGCGTGGAAAGCATAAGAGGTTCAAGATAGCCACTCTCTAGAATCTCCCAGGGTATATCCATTAGTTGCTATAGTATAGATTTAGTCTGGCAAGATTCTGTCTATATGATGTAAGCAAATAAAGGAACTATACTCAACTGGACTGTTTCACCATTGTTCTTGAGCTGGGCCTGACACTAGCTGAACATAAGCCAGGAAATGAAAGACTTCTTTTGCTATACATTGACCCAAGTAATTGCCAAAATTTAAATGGAGATGCATATTATCTTTCCAATAAAACTCATGGAGCCTAACTCTAACCATACTAAGTTATATTGTCATTCTATCTAAATATAGATGATAAAATAAATGTCTAATGATAGTTCTGGAATTCTGATAATTATAACCTTTTCTTCAAGAGATAGTCCTTGGTGTCCTGTCTTCTTATGTTGATCTATTGATATATCAGATCCCAAAGGAAGGAAATTAGATTTTTTCCCAATTAATCTTTTAACTTGAATATTTTCCAAGTTGTTGAACCACCTGTATCAAATTAGGCAAAGTTATAGAAAAATTATCCAGAATTGCCAGAATATCATCAGCATATAAAAATAATTTTTATCCTGAATCTGCCATTGCCAGAATATCTGCCAGTGATACCATGAGACTACCTAGCAATGATTGGTAATGGTTCAAGAATCGTCAAATAGTAGTGGAGAAAGAAGACAACTTGATGGGTAACATATTGTAACTCAACTGATCGAGAAATAAAATGATTTACTATAGGTTGTGACTAATACATTACAATCCATTTAATAAAAGAAGACAGGAAACTATACCTAGAGATAATTTGCTTTATAAAATTAATCTAAATCATGTCAGAAACTTTTTTAGCATCATAATACAGCGGTACCTCGGGTTACGAACGCCTCTGTTACCGAACTTTTTGGGTTGCGAACTCGCCTCGGGTTACGAACCGGATCTGCGGCCGTTTTCCCTGCTGCCATGTGGTCGTGGCTTCCTGTGGGCGAGATCGCAGTAGCAAGGAGACATTCGGTGAGGCTTGTG